ATCAATTATACTAAAATAACACTGGTAGGAGGTTCACATTACTCTTCTATGAAAGTGAATGGTGACCAGTTGTTGCACACTTCAAAAATGACACCTAAAAAGTATCTTAACAGTTACCACATATGACTTGTGCATTATATACTGTATTTCAAGTCTCCTCATGTAAAGTAATAGTTGTGTATGAGGAACAGACTAAAAATTAAAGAATTATTCACTCAAATCCCATTCGCATGATTTAAATATGCACATTTACAACTGGTTATGAGATGACTGAATGTTCATTTTTGGGTGACTGTCCCTTTAAAAACCCTTAAGAACTGAGCAGTAGTCTATACACTTACTATCAAAGACTAAACTGTGAGTCATCTGCTTAGGAAGCGTTTGGTGAATGTGTGTCAATTAAAAATGTATTTCCAGCTAAAGTCATCTTTGATCTTGGTCTCTGTGTATCAGCTGTTGGCTTGGACTGAAGCTAGAGTCTAATGATGCAAAGCCAATCTCTGGATGACCGTTTGAAATAAGTATATCTGATAGTCGTAATATCTCAGTTGGATGTTAATTCCACCTCCTTTTTTTAACCTTACTTTATGAAGGGATATAGAGAAAGAGAATGGTAATGAACACTGGAGCCATGTGTGTGCAATCACTGAAGGCATTTTGCAGGATGCACTCTTAAAAATATAGGTTCTTTATTGGCATCGATAATTCCATTAAGAATCTTTAACATCCATGGAACAAAAGGTTCTTTAGATTATTAAAATGTTCTTCACACTAAAACAAAAATGGTTCTTTTAAAGGGGTCATATAATGCCATTTTTGTACAAGCTAATATGATTCTTTAGGGTCTAAATTAAAAGTTTGTAATATACTTTAATTCAAAATTCTCATTAGTATTGTAAGAAAACACTTAATTTACCTGGTCAAAAACAGCTCTGTTTTCAGCACGCCGTTTCAGTGCATATGACTTTAAATGATCATGAGCTTTGCTCACCCCGCCCCTCTGTTCATTTGTAACACAATAACACAATAACCATAACGCGTTGTTCAGTATAAACGTGGGATTATGAATTTGTTATGAGAACGTCATACACAATGTTCCCTCTAAGCTGCGCGCGTGCGCGGCCGCGCACTTCTGATGCCTCGGCCGCGCACTTCTGAAGCGGCGGCCGCGCAGAAAAGAATAAAATGCCACGCAGAGGACTGACGCGAAATGTGTAGGGAAATCCATTTGATTGTAGTTTAAGTGAGAAATAATTTCAGTGCTCTGGTCAACCGCTATAGAGTGAAAACTGGTGAATGCAGTTAGGTTTCATAGAAAGAGAACTATGTGAGCGCGTGTGATTGGCAGTGAGTCGTGTGTGCGGACCAAATAGCTCAATACGAGAGGCAACGAGAAACGCAAAGACATGTGAAATAAAATCACATCATAATCTTTTAAAGAATAGTGGTTTGATTAAAGTGTTGGAAATAACGGTTGATGGACACAGAACGGTAACAATTACACACCCACCCGCGTGCAAACTCAAAATACATCATTAGTTTAAATAGATGTTTTTGTGTGTGGGGGAGTTTCAGGGATGGTTAGATTATAAAAGAGTTCACATTCACTTTTCTTGAAAATATTTAGCTATTAGATCTATTTAAATGCTTCAGTTTGTTTTCATATTATAATAATAATATAATATGTAAACAAATTGAAGCATTTAAACTATATTATATCACTTAAGTTAAGTTAAAGCTTTATTTGCCATTTGTACCGGTACAGCTATACAGGTACATAGGAATTTTTTGAATTTTTTTATACTTCAAATACTTCAATTAGTTTTTTTTTTTTTATATTATATTATATTAGGCCTATATTTTATTATAAGCCTAAATAAAGAATCTCACAAGGGTATCGTTTAGGGCTCCTTGCCATTAAAAAGTTTGAAACCCCCTGCTAAAGAAAATATTGGAAATTCATAAGCAATAAACAATCATTTAACTTTGATGGTTTAATGTTTCCTGTACACAATTAATTGACTGTACAAAAACACTTTATGGTTTTCCCAAACCATCTCAGTGCAACAGCTTACTTTTCTTTCATACTATATTCTATTATTGTAAAGAATTGAACTGTCCTGCAGAAGATTTTGTAAATTATTTTTCATAGGATTTCTTGGTAAAGACTGTACAGCTAACAGCACTGTAAAAAAATATCAGGTAACCTAAAATGTGCTTCATTTAGTGACTTCTTAATTTGTTAATAAGCTTGTTTTTCGAAAATATGATTTAATACCAATAAGTTACATCAAGGGTCAAATAAAAATAGAAATGGCACATTCAAGTTAAAAGTTACATTTGAATGTTGAAACCATTGTGTCTCTACGTATGCTGTACAGGTCAGGTATAAAGAATATTTTTGCTCAGGTCGCCCAATAGAAAAAAGTTTTGCTCAGCAAGAAAAAAAATTAGAGGGAACATTGGTCATACATAGAAAACATGCCGTAATGTACCCTGAGTGCCTTAGACGCATTCATTGTGAAGCGTGCAGCTAGCGATTTGCAAAGATTAATATACTAATATAAAGTTTAATAAAACGTTACACTCACTTCCGTTCTTCTGGAGATTCAGCGGGAACACGAATATCTGGTATACGATCCTTTTTTCATGAGCAGCTTCTTAGCAAATCCAGCTTTATACTGACCCTCGTTTATAAGCAGTCTGGTGTGTGAAATGTTTCGCGCAAACATGAAAGCATTGACGTTGCTCGTGGGGAATATTCCCTTCGAAAACAAACTCAGGCACTGCGTCTTCAGCGGTTCGGATTTAGGAACATTAAAATGACTGCTGTGTTCGTTATTACACCCAAGAACAGAACACCACAATCGCTTAGACGCCATTCTGCTCATAGACAGTGCTCCAGCATATCAACAATGACCGCGCTGGTCCGCGCAGACTATGATTGACAGCTGGCTCACGAGCGAGGGCGGGTCTGTGTTGAAACCCAGCTGTCAATCAACAATCGCGGGAGGGGCGTCCGACCGTGTGATGTCACACGGTCGAACGGCTCTATTTGAGGCAGGGGAAAACATATAAGGAGATTACAGTTTTTTTCAATTGTTTACACGCAATTTTAAAAACCGGGTTTTTTTTTTTCAAAATATAATCACAATTAGCCAAACACCACACTCAATTTGCATAATTCCTAGATTGTTTGCAAAATGACACACTTCTGTCAAAACATACACACTTCAGTCAAAAGATATACACATATTTGTGAAAATGCTATTAGTTTTCATTTAACCAACACAGTCCTCAATGATCAGACACTATTGCAGCCAGTTTCACACGGCTGTGATAAATAAAAAACACATTTGTAAAAAAACTATTTTTAGGAAATAGTATGTGCTAGATTTTTGGCCAGACATTGTTATGTAAGGGATAATTTAGATGAAAAAAAAAATAGTGACAAACCCACAACATTCTTCATGATTAGTTTGAGATATAGGGAGAATGTACACAAATAGGCCTACTATAAACTTGCCAAGCACTGCACTGATTTCTGCAGACTCATATTTCAAGTATTTATTTACAGTATTTCTTACCATAATCAGTTACAGTAATCAACCAACAAAGAAATCAATGAAAAAAATAAAATCTGTAGACAAATTAAAATTACTGCATGAAGTACATACAGTTTGACTCTGAAGAAAAACTACTGTAAAAGCAACAAGAATACTGTAACTATTCAGTTACAGTATCAACCAGAGATTTGGTTGATCTCTTTGTCCAGCTTCCATCAGTGTCAGTCCATGGTTGATAACATGGTCAATAAGTGTTGCACGGATTTCTTGAGTCAAATTTGGTCCTCGTCTTCTTTGTTCAGGTTCTATCAACTCTTCAAGTCCTTCTCTACCTCTTCCTCTACCTATGCCTCTTCCTCTTTCTCCTTCTTCTCCTCTTCCTCTATCTCCTTCTTCTCCTCTTCCTCTACCTGGGCCTCCTCCTCTACCTCCTTCTCCTCTTCCTCTACCTCCTTCACCTCTTCCTCTACCTCCTTCTCCTCTTCCTCTACCTCCTTCTCCTCTTCCTCTAATTCCTCTACCTCCTGCATCTCCTCTTTGAGCTCCCCCTCTTATTCTCACTCTTCTTCTTCTTCTTCTTCTTCTTCTTCTTCTAGCTCCTTCCATTTTTGTTGAAGACAGGTGAACTCACCTGCTGCCTTTTATAGCACATCTGAGTGCGCGTTTTCAAATTAGCACATGTGTGCTTCCACACCTGGTGGATGTGCATATCCAATTCATTCATTAGTGTCAATGGCAAACCGGGGCTTTGTAATGACAAGGAAGTAACCTCACAATCCTTAACTGTGTCTAAGGTGTGAAAATGTGTGTAGAGTTTTACAAATTACTGTGTGTAATGTTTTGCAAAAAGGGTGAAGCTGACAACGTGCTTACAATTGTGCAAATCTAGGCTGGTGTTTTGCTCCTTGAGTGTAAGGTTTTGCTAATAGTGGGAAAGTTTTAATTTTAGTGTGTAAGCAATTGAAAAAAACTGTAAAACAAAAACACTGGATGGATTTTTTTCATTTTATGATGGTTGTGGACAGGCACTGCCAACACACATTTCAGTACAATCAACTTGTAAAAGTGCATGTACCATTATATGACCCCTTTAAGAACTGATCACTGAAAGGTTCTTTATGGAACACAAAATGGATCTTCTCTGCGAAAACCTCTTTTGAAACCTTTATTTTTAAGAGTGTATGATGGCAGATAGAAGCCTTCGAGATGTTTTCCTCTCTGATCTGGAGTTGGACCTGAGCTGTGGTTTCAAAGAATCACACATGTCAGATGTTTGGCATTCTCTCACCCCTCAACACACGTTCATAATTTATGACTTTTTGAAGGCCTTTTATCCATTCCTTCTCTTCATGATATCTAATGCATTGTGTCACTGTGTATTGCTTTTCTACTATACACTATATCATTGTTTTTTTTCTCTGCCTCTTTTTGCAGTTGTAGAAATGGCGATGAACAGCATCCTCAACCCTGATGACATTAAGAAAGCACTGGATGCATTTAAAGGTGAGTGTGATCCACCTTGTCATCCATGTGCTCTTACTCTAAAATATGATTTGAAAGACAAATAATATGATGATCTTTATAACTGATGTAAAAAATGAGTTTCAATTTTCTAAAATCACCTATTTCTTAGGGGCCATTCACACAAAACATGTTTTTGCATTGCACCTTTCCATACTTTTCCATAGTTTTTTATGTAAACATGCACTAGACAGTCATCTTTGGCCACTGTAATCGCGTCTCGCATCTTTTGCAGTGTCTCATGCATATCACAGAGTTGTGAGTTACAGCACTCAAGATAAAAGGTGTTGCATCTCACTTTTCTTTTTACGCAAAAACCCTGTGAACAGCCCCTTCTGTCCTTTTTTTGTAATTGAGAAATCATAACTGTAATTATTATTGCAGAGGAATTTGCTGTATATCAGCCAACATGCAAGGAATGTTCATCATATACTCACAATGATGTCATTTCTAAACCATTATTTGGGGTTTTTCTTTTGTGGAGCACAAACTGTCAAAATTTCAGGAACACTTTTTTTATTAAAATGAAAGTGAATTGGGGCTGAGACTGTTGAGCTCCAAAATGACACTTTAGCACCACAAAAGTAGTGTTATTTTAAGTAATTTGATGGAAAATATGCCACTCAACAGATCTCATGGCAATTCGTATGCAAATTTTACGATGTGGCTGATTCGTACGAATTCAAACGACCACACTCGTACGATTTTTGCAAAATTGTACATATTGCGGGTTCCCCAATTCGTATGAATTCGTGTGAATGACCTACCCCTGACCCCGCCCCTAAACCTACCCATCACTGGGGTTTAGACAAACCGTACGAATTAGCCACCTTTTACTCACTCTTACGAATTTGTACGAATTGGTCGTGAGATAGCGTTGGCCACTCTGCTGCATCAAACCCATCTAATGCCACAGCATTTGATTTAAGAGCAACAAGTTTTAGGGATACAACTTAAGGGTTCGTTAAGGGTTACGTTTTTCCTTTGCGTTCTTCGCTTACAGACGACAACATTGTCAAAACGATGCCCTTCACATAAACGGCTGCTGTATTATTCATGTCAGTCCAGTAGTTGGCGATGTCACTTTGTAAAGAAACACTATGCGCCTAAAGACCGAACACGTAATATACACATGCATATGACGTATTCACAAATTCATGTTTTTGTAGTTTACACGGAGAAGATAACGGAATTGTTTTCAAACTTTCACTTTAAAAAAACGTTTTCAAATGTTTGCATTTTCAATCCCCCCAAAACACAGTTGTCGTGAAACGGCCCAAAAATTTTTTTGTTCCGTTCGAAGCTTGACAGTCAGTCCCCATTCACTTTCATTATATCAAGAGAAAATTCACCATTTGTGTTTTACAAAAGAAAGAAAGACATATGAGTTGGGAAAAAAAATGAGGGAGAGGAAATGATTACATGATTTCTATTTTCGAGCAAATTATTTGTAGTTTCCAGACAAAACATCAGTGATTCTCTCTGTGTTTCGATCTTCTCGCAGCCGTCGGCTCATTCGACCACAAGAGGTTTTTTGAGATTGTCGGACTGAAGGCGAAGTCGGCTGATGAGGTGAAGAAGGCTTTCCATGTTCTGGACGCCGACAATAGCGGCTTTATAGAGGAAGAGGAACTTAAGTAAGATTGACACAATTTCTACACTACAAAATGTTTTCTTGTAACGAATTAACCCCCCGTGCCAGGTTGCACTGAAAGACAATGATATTGTGTATCGACGATAGCAAGATGGTCAAAAGCATCAGCTATCGGCCATATCAAGGGATTTGCGCTACACCACTGCTTGTAACCCGTAACATTTGTAATTGAAACTCTCTGGATAAAGGCGAGCACACAAGAGGTTTGAAAGGTGTTCGACTCGCTCGGTTTCCTCTCTGCAGGTTTGTTCTGAAGGGGTTTGCTACAGACGGGAGAGACCTGACCGATAAGGAGACCAAAGCATTCCTGCAGGCTGCGGACAAAGATGGAGATGGAAAGATTGGAGCAGAAGGTAAAGTGAAAGGAATATAGCCTACCGTAACACCAGGGGCGTCTGTTATCTGATTGATAGTTTATATTAAGTTTAGCAAGTAAAAGCCTTCGGGTGTAATTCTAAAAATGTCCCCCTTCAAGTTATGTTACACACGTTCAATTGCAGTCAAATCTTTAATGATTTTTATAAAGCAAACATAATATTAACTTTTATTTTGTTATTAAGATTTCCAGATAAACAGTTACTTGACTAAAGCAACCTATAGGTTTACCTGATTATATTTTTAAGAAAAATCCTGTTCAAATGTGAGAATCAAATATGATACATCAGGCTTTTGAAGAATGTGTTTTTTTTTGTCCATTTCTCAATCATAATTGTATAGTATAGTATTGCATTGCATTATATGTTTTGCCCTCACAATAAAAACTAGAGATTCGGTCATAAACTGATATTTAATTATTACTTTTATGCAAGAATTCTGCTACAATATTATAAACATCTTATTGATTTACATTACAAGCTATTATAATTTTATCTTAATTTTGGCAAAACATATCATCAACCAAATTCCATATTTTTTGCTTTCCTCTCAAGTATAAGCTCCATTTTCTCATTACGACTCTATTCTATACTATACAATATATGAGCCATAAAAGTCTGTTGTATCAGATATGATACTCAACAAAAAACACATATTCAACTTTTTTATGTTTTATCAAATGTTTAATAATCTGTTCCATTTTTTAAATAATAAAAATAGATTTTTCTGACTATTATTTCACAAGTCAGGCTTTGCAGGGTTAATTTCAAGTAATGGTTCCCAGTGAGGGAGTCAAACCCTGCATCAATGAACTGCAATGTTCAATCAATGAAGGCTTCGAAGGCTTTAAAAATAACTTTTTCATAAGGTAATTTCGCCAATATGTGATTAAACTTGGATTTACACAAACTGACAACTGACTAGATTTTAAAATTCTTGTCTCGATTTCTTTTGTATTTTTTTATTGCACTTACAACAATTTTAGTCACAGTCTGGAGCCCTTAAGGACATGATGCTTTACTAAACCACATTATGTAGCCTATACCTTTTTCATCAAAAACTACTAATAGTTTCTCTATCTCTTTTTGTTTCAGAGTTTGCTGCTCTGGTTCGTGAATAAGTGATACAGACTCTTGGCCTGTTCATACCTCATGACCCCTTGACCTCGACCTCAGCCTAAAATGCCCCTGAAGCACAGACGCACATACACACTCACTTAAGCCCTGGGTATACTTCGTTTTCCGTGTTCCGCGCATAGTGGACTTTGCTTTCAAGCGCTCAACAACACTCACTCAACACGCTGTCACCAAAATTGGGCTGTGCGTAAACAGTGTGCGTGGACGTCTGCGGAGCCTCCTGATGACGAAAATTACGTCACGCAGACAGTGCGCGGACCATTGCGGAACGCGGACGTCCGAAGTATGCTTTGGGCTTCGCACACATGCTTGCACACCAATCCTGAGGACATGACCAACACACATACACAAATCTCCCACCATCATGCTATTTATTTTCCTTTTTATACAAAAGTGAGTGTTTCTGCTATTGTAGGCTATAGATCGAGACCTTTAACTGGGAAAACCTCATGCCATCAACATGTAGATATAATAGAAAAGAATATCCTCTCCATCGTCCACTATTCTTTGTCTATCTTAATTTTCCTTGAATCTCTCCCATTGATCTTTCTCTCCACTGCCCCCCACTCCAAACTCTCTGGTAACAGGCTTCTGTGAAACACACCAAAAGAAGAAAGAGGTCAAGTTGTGAAAGAAAACAAAATAAAGAGACAATGCCTGAAGAGTTCCAGTGTGAAATAAATCTGTTTGTGTTCTCTCTTTTCTTCTATAATTAGTCAAAAGTACAGTATGTCTGAAAGGGTTGCGAAATTCTGAATCTATCTATCTATCTATCTATCTATCTATCTATCTATCTATCTATCTATCTATCTATCTATCTATCTATCTATCTATCTGTCTAAAGTTAATATTTCTCAGAAGAAAGCTAACGTCACAATCTGGAACTAAAATGGTTTGTGAAAAAGTGGCATTGCTACTTTTAGTTAGTTGCTCCCTAACACAGCAGGTGACTTTGTCCCTCTCAAACTCTTATGATGCTCAAATTGAAAATTTTCAGAGAAATTGACCACTTCAGAGACACTGAATCAACTTCACATTATTTTATTTGTTCAGCAAACAGATCAAGATGTGAAGAATCGTATGCATATTTCACAATATCTACAGGAGAGAGTGTACGTGCGCCATGTATTTTCCCAGTATCCGCTGGTTGAAGCATAATAGACGTAAATCACCATGATATAGGCACATATTTCTGTATTGAACTATTAAATTAAACCAGACAATATTCTCAAAGAAAAATAACATGCTGATTAGATGCAAGACATTCCGAGAAATGGGCTCGACACCGCAGAAGGTCACGCCAATTACTGTCAAGGTTAAAATGAACATTCACTTTAGAGGCACTTAAGCAGACAGAACAGCCAATTTAAGGGCAGCTTGTAATTGGGCACGTCAGATGAATTAACTGAGCCGAGAGACAAAGTTCAAGCACAGAGCAGGAGAGAGAGACCGATAGTCGCTTATCAGAGATGCCGGGGTTCCAAGAGGTCAGACCTCATAGAACTGTAGTTAAACCAGCCCAAATGGCATCAAGCATGACAGTATACAAATATAAAGTGCATTTAGAGGACCAGTGATGCTTTAGGAAGTGTTTTTCTTAGTGCAAATTATATACAATTATTAGAAGATGTGAACGATGAAAAAGACACTTGTTTCAGCACTTAAAAGTACTTGAGCTGACCTGCATTTACGTTTCCTGGTTGGTCAGCACAACTACAGCATAAAAAACCTGCTGCATTTTATAATGGACTGGAGGAAACATGGACAACAAGAGAACCAGGAAGTGATGTCATGTTTGAAAATACACAGAAATGACCACTGGTAAAGTGGCATTAAATATTTGGACACATAAGCCACATTTAAACAATGTCATTGCATTATATGACAATATCAAACCAAGTGGATTTAGTTTAAAGAAATAAATTTTTCACTTAACAATTTCAAGCCATAAATTTCACAAAAAGAAAGGTTTCAAGTGATAGGTACACTGTTCCAAATAAAGATAAACAGTGTTGTGAAACTTTCTGCTAATCGAATGTTGCAACATGTCCGTAGGTATTGTGATAATCTATACCCGTTTACTCTGAGAAGAACTGGCTTCATACATCCACTAAAAAAACATCTGCAGTATTTGTTTGTATACGTCCCACCACGAAATTCATGTATTTTAAGTGTGACAAAGTGTCCAAATACATTATGGGGCCACTCTATATATAAGAGAGTTATTAATTGTTTGTTGCTGCCAACCCTCCAACAGCCTGCAGATAAAGGTACATTTTCTTATACTGTGCCTGATTTAATGGACTTTTAAAGACCAGTCATAAATCATTGTTGAGTCGCATTGTCTTAAATGTGATGCTTTGTACTGATTATGCTGGAAAATTAATGTTTTTTGAATATGGCTGAACAATATATAGTCAAATGTGGAGCACTGATTAGCTGTTGAAGAATTGTTGCCATTGGTTGAAATATCTTTCATATGCGTGGAGCTGATCTGTCATTGGTTTTGGTGGGTTTCAGCTTCACGGTGGCAAATGGATTCGTGCCTCTGCAAAAACAGAGAATGAAATTATGTTAAATAGAAAAATCTGCAATATAGATGATCTCTTATTGGTGCTGAGGATGCGAAAAGCATCATAATTAAAGGTTAAGGGACATGAATATAAAACAGGTGTTTTTACCGACCTTGGAAAAAGGTCTGGTCGAGACTCATATTGATCTTGTCTCTGTCGGAAACAAAATAAGACATGTCATTAAGTATTGCTGATTCTTTAAAAATGGTTTTATACTATTCTTACAATTAGTATGCAAAAAAGTCACAGCAAAACCACACAAATGTAATGTTTTCTCCTAGAGACTGACCTTGAAATCAAGGGTCAAACTCAAACCAAAAGTGAACTATAGTGAAACTAACTGCTCAGTTGCATCAAAGGTATAAAACAGATGACCCCTTCCAGCCCATTAGATTTTATTTTGTGGCCTCCGATAATAAATAAAGATTATTTAAGTATGTTTTATAAGAAAATATTCTATTATCAGTCTATTTAAAAATGTCATGATTAATCCAATGTGTTACCTACCATTTCTTTGTAATTATTTGTGTAATTTACTATCAAAGTGAAAATTCAAAGTAAATCCTACACCAGTTTTTTAAGTACACTTTAAATTTTATATATGTTACAATAGAATTCTAACGTGAAAATGTCATACTTCCTTTCGCATGAACATAATATTTTGTAATTATTGAACAACAAAACTGAGACATCGATGCGGAAGTCACTATATGCAGTACATTATTATGAATGTATTAATATATTGGACAAAATATTCAACTTACAATTTATAAAAATCATGTTGGTTTATTGTTCAGTTTCGTATATAATGAATATTAAACATTATTCCCAACAACTAATTTTATGGTTTAATTGGCTTCATCACTCTGTCTCCTCTCCACCAGTAAGCTGGTGTGTGGTGGGCGTTCTGGCGCACTATGGCTGCCGTCGCATCATCCAGGTGGATGCTGCACATTGGTGGTGGATGAGGAGATTCCCTCCTCAATGTAAAGCGCTTTGAGTGCGAGAAAATCGCTATATAAATGTATTGTTATATTTTTATTATCATCAATTAAAGTTTTTCCTCTGTCCTCAATATCACACCTGTTAGTATTTTGTAAAATCCTTTTATCTAACAAAAGCCACATTATCCTCCAGGAGATGACATCATTATGGAGGGAATTTGACAGCACATATGTTGGTGAGCAATGGATTTGTTCAATTCTGTGATGTCTGTGGTTTTTGGTTATTACACTAAAGCACTCTCTATCCTGTTTGATAAAATCAATTAAATTAGCATGATGATCAACATGGATGCTGTCATGTAATCCAACTCACTCCCTCACTGGTGTGTGTGTGTGTGAGAGAGAGAGAGAGAGAGCCAACCAGAACAAATGCAACAGGAAACAATAGGCTCATATATAACTGTTACTCTTTGCATCAATGTTGGTATAGCAGAGGATCACACCAAAGCATGCATGCACACACACACACACACACAAACAGGCGCACACATCTTTGTGGGGACTCTCCATAGGCGTAATGTTTTTTATACTGTACAAACTGTATATTCTGTCCCCTTATGCCCCTATCCCTAAACCTACCCATCACACACAACTTTCTGCATTTTTACATTTTCAAAAAACATCACTTAGTATGATTTATACGCTGTTTTCCTCATGGGGTCCCCACAATGTAGGTGATTTCAGGGTTTACTATACTTGTGGGGTCATTTGGTCCCCACAATGTAAAATAAACATGAACACACACACACACACACAGACCGTCAGCAGAAAGAGCTGCCCCCCTGCAGCCACCAGAACGAAGGATGCGGTGTTGTGGAGAAGAGAACTTCACCACAGTGCCCCTGCTGGCCACAGTAGGAACTGACACTTAAAATTCAAAGTCAGCCTGCTCTCATCTCATCTACACATTTACATTAGCTTACAGTCGGTAATCTCTCCAGGGATTTAAAATATTCTGAACATCAGCAGATCTTAAAGAAACCCACGAACCACATCAGAATTTAAAACACACTCAAAGGATTCCTACATTACAGTCACTGCATCTTAATCTTTACTTAAAGACAAAATGTTTGCCTTCATAAATTTAATCAAAATGTAATAACTTTACCTTTCCAGCTGAAATCAAAAGATTCTTTAAACGCAGTCTAATAGATTGCTGATGGATAAAATCCAGCCATTTTAATATAATGATGAATTAATTAATTAATGAATAATTTAAATTTTTTAAATTAGATTTTTTTTGTTCAGATGTTGTTGTTGTTGATGTTTAACAGGTCTTACTCTGTTTTCTGAAGGGGTGGGAGTGACAGGCCTGGAGTTTCTAGATCTGGTTGATGGAGAAGGTGGCGGAGGAGGTGCAGGCGGAGTTATTTGTTGGCTGCTGCTCACGGTTTGGTCGAGGAGGTTACTCATACTGCTGCTGCTTCTAAAAGAACTGCTACTGAACAAAGAATAATGGTTAAAAGTCATGAAATTGAAGAAATAAGAAAGTAGAGAAAGCAGTATCGGCTTACCTGGAGACAGGTGGCCCAGGTGGTTCATTCACGGGGCCTACATAAGCAGCAGGGAACCAGCCTTGCCTAAACAATGCATATCAAATGAACAGGAAACAAAATCAGGTGGTCTGTTTGAACATGAGATGTTTTTAGAGTGTTATTGAGGAGAATAAAGCAACTCTCTTTCAAAAATGGACATTCATGGAGTTTGAACACCATCAAAAGTAAAGACGTTCGAGTCTTTAACGAGAACTAATCATTCTCTTAAGCAGGTAACTGGTTCACAGAATCGAACTGAATCAAACTTTAGTCCTGGATTGATGACACAAGACACACATTTGAAGGAGCACGCACGCTCCCTGAGCAGCACCGAATGAGCTAATGTCCAGATGGGTTATTGAACCAAAGAACTGGTTTGAAATGAACAAATCAAACCTACAGGCAGAGTTGAAAGTCAACTTTTTCAGTCATGTCCGACCAAGGGCACCACTGGAAACACCCTACCCCAACAGTGCACCTGTGTCTGACTCAAAGGCCCTGTTTACATCTGGTATTAAGATGCATTTTGGTCGATCGAATCACTAGTGGACGATACTAAATACGGTGTAAACGGGGGCTAAAACATTATGAGCTTGTCCACTTTCGAAGACTTCCAGAGGTAGTCGAAAACACATTTGACCGGATTGCTTTCATAGTGTAAACGCTCATGTGGTCGAATGTGTTCGAACAGTCAAAAAAAGATACTCTCCACTCTCCGCCTACTGACCTAAACATTATGGGAAGCACGCTAGCTGGATGAGATTTAAACTTTGTCGGCTGGAGACCCAAATTGGGTTTGAAGACGAAAAACGTACCAAGCACAATGTTCTCTTGCCATTCCTGATTTCAAACATTTAGTCTTGCGGTTGTCAGAGAAGTACTGAAAGCTGATGATCTCCATGTTTTTCCATCATCTCCAGTCGCGTTCATATGTAAATTGAGTGAGCTTATTTTGTCCATTAGATCGAAAGATCTAAAAAAACACATTTACCCGCCCATAGATCCTCCCCTCGAAGAAATCAAGACAGAAGTGATTGAAAGTGAACAAAAGAGACGGATTAAAACACCAGGTGTAAAAGGGAATGTGTCTCCCTCGTCTACTTGTGATCCGATCAATTATTATTGATAATTGCATTAATACCAGGTGTAAACAGGGCCAAAAAGAATCAAATGAGCCGGTTCTAACCGTCAATGTTTTTAAAGGTTATCCTCTGACTGTCAGTCCAAATCTGATTTTTGTGCATTTCCGATTGGAATCTGATCATATGTAGAACGTGTGACTGTGAAGGGCAAAAAAAGCACATGAAATGAGATTTTCACAAATCAGTTTTGAGCTACATTAATGTGTGGTTTGAAATCCTATTCAAATCGCATTTCTGGAAATCTGTTTCAGTCTGACCACCCTAATCAGATTTTGCATGATTTATGTCACTATCACGGCATGTAAAACATAAACATGTCAGATGTTGTTATAGGAAACATGCTTAAAGTCGCTGCAGGAACAAGGTTGTGTTGTTTGCAAAGTGCCGGATGAACAACAAATGACAAAATAATGGAAACATTACAGTACGGAATAAAGCTGTGCATAGTTGAGCAAGGTAACCCCCAATCGCTCCCCGGGTGCCGCAGTGAATGGCTGCCCACTGCTTCGGGTGAGTGTGTCCACGGTTTGTAGTGTGTGTGATCAGAGTACATATTCCGAGTATGAGTTACCATACTTGGCCTTGGCCTTCACGTCACTTTACTTAAGTTGGATTCGAGAATTTTTTTTATTTCAATTTAATGCTCGACCGGACCAGAATCAAACAGCCCTAATCAAAAGTCTAAAGGTGAGGATTAAGGTGTCAACTGCTCTCACCGTCCAGAGCTATCAGAGCATCCATACAGCCAGCCGTTCCTAGGCTCTTTAAGGAGCAGTGTGATGGCTTCTCCCCGAGAGAACGGCAGGAGGGTGGAGTTAGCATTGGGAGGGTGGGGCACCAGCGCCCGCATCACTTTACCACCAGCCAATCCTGAGACGGAGTTGGAACGACTGGGCTGAGGGGAGGGGCCTGCGATGAAGGGGTGAAACTGTCATATTGAGCACAAAAAAAAGGGTATAACATTCTTCAGACGTTTCGTCTGATGTCAGAATAAGGTCTCCACACCTCTAGAGGGCACCGTTCCCAGCGGCTGCTCTGCCCAGCGGTTAACATCAAGCTGACAGAACGACATGGTAACATGGGGTGAGTTTAAACATCCACATCTATGAACAGCATCATCATTTAGGGTCGCTTAGTGCCATTAAATATAGTATCATATGATTATTTTTTAATGTGATTATTGTGTCATTATACTGTATCTCACAATGTTGTCCTCCAGTCGTGAAGGAGTACGTGGACGGGATTCTCTTGTGTGATTCACCAGATCTTTCCACCCCTCTGCTCTGTTTTGCAGGCCGCCCCCTGTCTGTGGGAGGAATAACACAGTCAATGTTAATCAGACTGAACACTTTGCATGAACAAAATCCAGTTACAAGAAATTTTTAAAAGGTGGGAAAAAACAATATTCTAGAAAATAACTTTTATGTAGCATAAAACAGGTTTTTAAAGTCCCCTCGAAAATTGTGTAAATAAAAAAAGTTAATTTTTTACTAATAATAAGCTTTTACAATAACACCATTAGTACATTTCAAGCACTTTTGACAAGTTCTCCTTAATAATATCTACATATTACTTTGGTTACAACTCAAAGCAGCACATTAAGCAGCAAGACATTAACCTTGTTCATGAGATATGCAATAGACTGGGTGAGTCCGCAGTGTTTCTCAGCCAGGAATCGATATCTTCTTTCTTCTTCATTTAATGCGTCTTTCTGACACTCTCTGAGAAAGTGCACATACTCGCTGCCATCCTAAACACAAACATCACCATCATCATTCTTTTTTTTTTATGAGAATTTACATCTAAAGTGCCATTTGGGAAGGGTCACACACTGCTCTCACCTGTGGGACCCCTCGCCTCATCTGTCTCTCCAGTGCTGTTGCCTGGTTTCTCACCTCCATCTCATAGCGCCTCCTACTGCTCTGGAGGAGAAAGTGAACCACATCAATATATATATATTATCTTAGTTTCAACATTCAGATTCTTTTTAATCAGCTTATCCGTTATGAGTTTTGAGAACGTTGAAGGAAGGAATCCTTTATTAAGGTGCTCATCGTAAGCTGTCGTTATAATTATAATAACAAGCAGGTGTTTATGCAGGTTTTGTTTTCTTAAAATGCACATTTTCTTGTTTGCATTTACAATACAAAATAAAAAACTCACCGATATGTAATCTTTATCTAGTCTGACATTGTTGTCCATCTCTTGAAGGACCTCGGAGTGGAACCAGCGGAACTGAATCAATCAGACATACTCATTAAACATGGGATTAGCCGTACAGACAGTCTAACAAGTATTACGTCAACAACGTGAAAGATATAAAAAGATGGGTCAATAGAGGAAGGTCTGTAACACACCACTCCCTCCAGCTCGTTGGTGAGTCTCCTCTGACTGTCTGAGATCTGTATTAACACATCACCTGCAAAACAAACACACATTTTATTTATGATCTTATTACAGCTATTGTATCTTCTGGTTGAGTGTCTATGTGCTGAAGTATTACCCTCTAAAGGTTGCACTGCCAAGCTGACGTTATGTCATCATTTATTATTTAACATCACAGAGGAGGTGCAGTTATCTGATATTGACTACAAAACTGACACACACACACACACACACACACATGCACATACTGTCACACCATCTCTCTGTGGCCATAAAATATGATTCATAACAACAAAAGCACCATTGAAATCTAATGGAATTTTTCCATTAAACCACAACAGGGTGATAGATGTCAGCCATAAATAAACTCTCTCTCTCTCTCTCTCTCTCTCTCTCTCTCTCTCTCTCTCTCTCTCTCTCTCTCTCTCTCTCTCTCTCTCTCTCTCTCTCTCTCTCTCTCTCTCTCTCTCTCTCTCTCTCTCTCTCGTGTAAGAAGGTTCTGGGGAAGAACAGAGTGCCTTTACAAGAGCAAAGTGCAATATGAGTGTTTGAAGGACACTGTCTCCCTCCCAATTTATCACCCTCAATAAAAACAAACTCAAAACTCTCTTTCTCTCGCTCTCCCACACTGTCCCTGTGATGGAAAGTACATATTTATCAGAAAAAAGAAAATGAACTGTGTATCGAAAAAATCTCTGACTTTGACAGAAATGTGTCCTGCTGTAATTTAAAAGTAAAAGAATGTGAAAGAAAATGAAATGATAAGAGGAAATAAAAGCTTACCTAGCAAGCGCGATGACATAGTCTGCATGGCCTGTTCACCCATCTTAGACAGAGCATTGAAATAGGCCTCACTGGTGACGGCAAGGGCTGTAGACACACACAGTTTGATTCATTTACCATGGTAAGACTGATTTTAACATCTTTTCACAGTAATAATATCTGAACATCCTTTAAACAAGGTGAATTTACCTAAAATAAAATATTAAATACATTTTCATTCAAGAACTTGTTAGACAGAGAATATGTCATTAAAGTTAGGGTAGGCAATTTTCTGGGCGGCTAGCAATAGCAAGCTAGCTTTGAAAGCATGAGATCCCACCCCCACTTCAGAGCGTCTCCAAAGACATGCCTCCTTCAAAACACATGAACGCACACAGCAGAGTCTGCAAAGCGTCACTAGAGATGACGTTAAATTACCTCATGTCTCAAAGCACATAACATTACAATAATAATGAACATAAACAACTTCAAGAGCACTGACCTGTACCACCTGACTTCTTCAGATTCATTTCAACGTTGATAGTGTTGACATGAGAAATATGTCTATAGAAAGCTTGAAATGTCTACCTTTATTTGGTAACTTAATCGCGCATTCAAACGGACTCTCCCCTGCCTGTTTGCGTTGTCGTATGAGCGCATATATTTCTCCTAGCCAATCAGCGAAGATCAGGCTACGTCACTGATAGTCACACCATGGCATCTGACCAATCAGAAGTTGCGTGGAGCATTTCAAACTTCAGTGTCGTTCCGGATATTGGAAAGTAAGGTTATGCGCTACTACCTACTCCCACATCAGCGCTAATAACTTCAAAACAAAAAAATGGTAAGTTGATGAAACTCACACATTCTATGGTTGAATAGTTGTGCAACATGTTGAGATAGGTGTTGTTTGCACATATTTCTTGAAAGTAGTGACATTTGTGGCATGAAAAATGGTGAGACCATATTTGATCATACGCCCTGTTCACGTAAGATTAGCGCAAGTGATAGGAAGACCATATTTAGACACACGCCCTATGAAAAGCCATACTAGGGTATTTTTTCTACAAATAATGCATTATTACCACAGTCTATGATTATAATGTAGGACGATAGTATTTACTAGTGCATTGGATGTTATCACAGGTTTGAATAACATTATAAAGTGAACCAAAAACGTAACACATTTATAGACATTTTCAAGCCATATTAGATATTGAAATATGTGTGGTTTTGGTCAGTTTTATGACCTTTATAACAGTTTTTAATACTTATAATGATATTTTGCACTTCTTATTATATATTTACATATATTATGACAGATCAGTCCAATGTTACTCAATTATTTTTCTTATTATTTATATTTCAGTAGATCTGCATTTCACTGTTACTCAACAAATTACTCAAACTGGGCTTGATATTGACTCAAAAATGTACTCTCTGTTCTTTGCAGCTATCTAAGCGAATCTTTTACGGCAAGAGGGAGACAGTTGTGCCAGCCCACCCCAGCATTAGTGATGATGAGGGCTCTGAGGAGGAAGATGATGATGAGGCAGACCCTGTCTTCCTCCCACCCACCCACAACCTAGACACTCCAGGCCAGAGTAATATAGGCCCCTCTGCCAAGAGGTGTAATTTAATTTAAAATGTTCCTAATAATAATTTAAAATGTTCCTAAATAAATATTTTGTATGTTTGTAACAAGTTTATGTGTTTTTATTATATTTTTATATATACACTTTTTAAGGAAAAAAAATTTTACCCTAGACTGGCGAGGAACCATATATGGTAACTTCATTGCCCTTGATTTCCAACCTAAAAAAAATATATTTTTTTAAAAACTCACAAATGTTTAGAAGTCTTATAATATCCTCCAATAACACTCTATGGTTGAAATTTAGAATTTCCAAGTATTTCAATGAGTGCCCTATAAAGGGTTAAACAAACCAATTCAAATCGAAAAGAAAGTTGCATTTCTCTCTAGGCACGTTCACTACTGCGGAGATGTCAAGGCAGCATCATCAACTTCATCTTCACAGCCGACACTGACACAGAAAACACTAGTTTATTAATAAATAATTCAAATGTCTCCTCGCTATTTTTTGCACCGACACATTCATAATCATTAGGCTACTTTTGCTGGTGCTTTGCGACACGAGCGTGGAAGAGGCTATATTACGTGTATATATATATATATATATAATTAACGCTCATTATAGTTTAGTATTCTCCTCAGTATATATTTAAGTAATTAAATTAATATAAACGTGCGGTTAGTCGACAAATGGCTTAAATGAACGACTACTAGTCAACAAGAAAAATATTTAGTCGGGGACAGCCCTAATAAATAGACATACATAAATCCTGTAGCTCTAGCATATATAGGCAGGTGGAGCTGGGGAAGGTGGAGGGTTTCAGAGGAACTCTGATAACGTGCTGCAAGACTACAGCAAACACTAAACCAGATTTAAATGTTGAGCAAGCAATCTCATTGGCTGCATAATCACCAGAGGCCAATCAGCTTGTGCCATGAGGTAATGGTTGTTTGCAGAAATCATGTAAAGGACCTATCAGCTTGCGCCCTCTAGAGTTTCATGAATGATCTAGATATATCACACTAAATTTATGATTTTGAGGACTGGTATAAAGTAAAATATATATTGTATAACCACCAAAACACTATAAAAAGCTATGAAATCACTTTATTGGTTCTTTAATCAATTGGAAGATGACTATCAAACAATCGGAATGTTGTTTGATAGTCATCAAGTTTTTTATAGGAACAGACACTATCAAAGCTTCTGACGTACATATGTCAAGTTTGCACAGTTACCCTGGTGTTAGTGAAGCTCAAGACTCATAAAATAGACAGTCATTAAACAATGATGTTGAATGAGCCAATGGCGTTGCAGCAATGCTGACTTATTATCATCAATGACAACCGGCAGGCCAAAGTTCAGCCACTCCACTTTCTTTCTTCCTCCTTTCATCTGTTTCAGTCTTACTTGCTTGCCTCACTCAACCTCATTCATTCTTTCTCATGTTGACTTGCCTTGGAAAGCCTGAATGTAGCTGTTTCCCAGTGCCACCAGTCTCTGCAAGCTTGGGTTGAACTGCTCCATTACGCTCTGAGCGGGTGGACAAGCGAATTTGAGAATGACAGTCTGATAACCGATCAAATGTCAACACATTTTGTGACTATATGTTACACCACATCAATCTATCACCTTGGTTACAGATTACTATTTGTCACAACAAATTTTCCCATCTAAAAACCACTTCTGAACAAATATAAATAAATATTTTATTTAACTTAATATGAGCAAATTATATGAAAAAAATAAATTATATGCTTCATGCTGAATATTTATAGATTTATTATAAAATTATATAGGCAACATTTCTGGACAATATACATATTTGTATATACATGTAAATAAATGTCAGTGTATTTTATTACACATGTTCTACTCAGTTAATAGACATGTGATTGTGCAATCCAGACTCAATTGTGAGAGACTTCACGCTTACCGTATAAATGCCCAGAGTGGTGCGGTGCAGTTGATCACTGTTTTGTCCTGACATCCTGATCTGTCACCGTAGCACAGCAAACAAATAAATAACTTCCACTGACTAAAAAACAAACAACCAGACTGACAGATGACCCACTGCTGATCTCCCCCTTGTTTCCAGTGTCCTCTCTTGTCTTGTCCTGTTTGTGAGTGTGAGTGTTTGTGTGTGTGTAAGAGAGAGAGAGAGAGAGAGAGAGAGAGAGAGAGAGAGAGAGAGAGAGAGAGAGAGAGGGGGGGGGAACAGTGAGCTATTGTCACCCATGTGGCCTGTGAATTATTGAACAGTGCAGAGTAATAAAAGTGTGACTTAGGTTAGACACCTGCCGTAAACACTGCACACCAGAGATAGGAGGAGACAGGACTGCTGTTGTACCGTCTTAGCATTTTTCTCAGTGCAGTGATCAGAAACCTTTGCAAGTCCCTGACATTATTTAGCTACATTTATGCATTTGGCAGACACATTTATCCAAATCGACTTTATATTATGTTGCAGTTGCTATATATTATGTTGTCATTATTATTATTATAAAAAATAGTTCACATAAATCATTTTCATTGTGACAGGCCCCACAAATGTTTTATACAAACTTGCTTGTGCTTGGAAAACAATTATAGTCTTTAACATCACTCATATACTTCTTTATCCCCTAAGCATAATCATATATTAAATTTAATATATATAGAATTTATTATTTTGTGTTATCATAATGCATAGTGTCATTATTGATGATGAGGATGATAGTTTAATATAATGGTAATAAAATAAAAGTAATAAAATGAAAAATAAATTATATATGTAGGCTACTAATATTTATGAAACTGGCCGCCCGCAAGTTTCAATTAACTGTCGATCACTCCTTGCATGGGCCGTATTGTCAGAGAGGCGCGCGGGCGCATGTGTGTGTGTGTGTTTGTGTTTGGTTCACTCCTCCACTCCACGGCGCAGGATCTTTCCATCGCTTCCGCGGAAGAACCCGTCTCTGCTGTCCCACTGAAGATGGAGCTATCTGCGGCAGGCGACCGTGTGTTTGCCGCCGAGGCCATTCTGAAGCGCCGCGTCCGTAAGGTCAGTCTGTTTATTAAAACTCATTTTATTTCCTTTCACTGCGGCCTACAAACGCAGTAAACTTCAGCCCTGCAGACCGAGTGCAGTGAATTAAACTGCATTAGAACACCATGCTCTCTGTGCAATCATAAAGCGCTCGAGTAACCCGTGTTACGCGCATTTTGTGTATGCATTCATACGTCTGAGTTGCTTAATATTGAGCTCAGGGTGCAGTGTGTGTCTGTTTAGATTAGACTGGCGCTAGCTGGAGCGGGAGCTGGTGCTGTTAGCGCGTTAGCTTTTTTTTGTGTCTACCCGGAGTGCAAATTTTTGACAAAGGCCGGTTCGTCTGACACCCCATCGACAGCAGGCGCGATGCGACGCGACGCTACAACACTAAAAACGCTTGCACCGTAGCCTACACAACGGGTATGTTTACATTGCGTTGAAACCAACCGAACGGTATACATTTTTCGCGCGGTTGTACAGTTTCGGTCATTTATAATGGAATCTTTGCGTTCTGTATCTGTGGCGTCGCGTCGCGTAGCAACCACTAGTTTTCACGTTCAAATCGCTGTTTGTTTTTATTTTCCGTACAGCAGACGATTTTTTTTAGGTTCGGTGCGGGGGAAATTTTGGTTGTCAAATCACCAGCATCTACTGATAGTTAAAAATCCAAAAGAACTTTGTATATTGTGTTGCCTTTGATGCCCTAATGGGCATTTTATTATTATGAGAGAATAAGAATTTAAAGAAGTAGTTTGCCCTAATTTTTGTTTGTTCAAATTACTTCATCCCATGTCCTCTAAAGCCTTAAAGGGATAACTTAGTTCACCCAAAAAAGAAAATCATCCCATAATCTACTCACCCGCAAGCCATCCTAGGTGTAAATGGACTTTCTTCTTTCAGCCAAACACAATCGAGTTATATTAAAACATTTCCAGGCTCTTCCAAGCTGAATGGTTCCATTTTTTTAAGCCCCCCAAAAAGCCGATGTATGACGTAAGCGTAGCATCTGGTGAGAAGTGACGAACATCATACGCCTACGTCATACGCTGGAACTCGACTCTCTCGTGAGCGGGCGTATGGCCGTTACCGGAAGCCAGATATTTTAGTCTATAAAGTTATGGATATTTTTCTTAAATTATGGGATAATTTTCATTTTTGGGTGAAGTACCCCTTTAAAATAGCTTTGTCATATGGACAACTTCCACTCGACTCTAATAGACATGCATTTTGAAGGATGGATTGATTAATATGGTCAAAGTCCTTTTAGGCAAGTCATGCCACTCGGCAGCCATCTTTGGCGTTACGGGTTTTCCCTATATAGTTGTATTAAGGATTGATTAAGTGGCATGTCTCAATATATATAGTCTCTGATATGGCCTACTTTTTATTAGGCCGATATATTTACAGTGGTTTAAAAAATGATGGAGCATCATCTGTATAGGACAAGCTGAGTAAAGATTCTTTAAAAATATCTACTTATGTCTTCCAAAATAACAGCATGCAGGTTTATAAGGGCATGAAGGAGAGTAAATAATGACAGAATGATCTTTTTGGATTTACTATTATTTCAATGAGTTATCTTTCAGAAATGTTGGAAACTGATTTGTTATTTCCATAGGGACGGATGGAGTACTTAGTGAAATGGAAAGGATGGGCAATAAAGTGAGTTAACAGAAATATGATTCATTAGTAAAGCTTGTATGTCTAACAAGTAGTGGATGTTAAATGATCTTTATATTTTTCAGGTACAGCACATGGGAACCTGAGGAGAACATCCTAGATGAACGACTGGTTGCAGCATTTGAACAAAAGTGAGTTATTGCCTGTTGTAGTTAATGGTTTTCCCCTGATTAACAATTTTAAAGGAAACGGACAAGTTACGAAATGTTAACTCCTGCGATCATGAGAGTTAAATACGTTTGTGACCGTTGATTCCTCTATTTGAAGTGGTCTCCCAGAGTCAAAGCTAGATTGACTCTTTCCTGCATACCCACAGGAAGCAGTCTCGAGACATCTCTATCCACATCACATGAATACTTGAGTCTCACATCTGAAGTAAAACTTTTGTAGTCATGCTTTATGCTCAGAGGAAGTTTGTTGTTCTTAAAGCTGAAACTGGCACAACCACTCACTATATAAGTTCAAACACTGACATAATCACAAACCCTTTGATCAACTCGTCTTTTTACTCAGAGAGCGAGAGCAAGAGATGTACGGACCTAAAAAGAGAGGCCCGAAACCTAAAACGCTGCTTCTAAAGGTACGTCAGCAGCAATACCAACTGCCATGGAAATAAATGTGTTTTGTGGTGTCATTTAGTGAATTTGTTTTGTAAATATGCTTTTAAAATATTTTAAAGTATAGTTCACCCCAAAAATAATAGTTCTCATCATTTACTTACTCTCATGTTCCAAACCTATAAGACTTTCATTCATCTTCGAAACACAAATGAAGATATTTTTAATGAAACCTGAGAGATTTCTGTCCCTCCATTGAAAGTCCATGCAACCAAAACTTTGACGCTTCAAAAGGTTCATAAAAACATTGTAAAAGAATATCATATAAATTGAGCAGTTTAAGTCTTTTTGCTTGCTGTATGATGAACAGATTTAAATTAGGCTTTTATTCATATATAAACATTGTTCATAAGTAGAGTACATCAAATATGACAAAATTAGCGATGTCACGATACCAAAAATCTAGGATTTGGTACCAATACCACCAAAAGTACAGAATACTCAATACCACAGTAAAAAATAATAATAAAAAAAAAACCAAAACAATAATACTAAAACAATGTACTTGTGTTTATATGAGGTAATTTGTTGCAATAGTCAGTAATAAAACAAAAGAATAAGCACATTAGAAGCAGTAGCATAAATATATACAATAATAAAGAAAAGATACAAATTAAACAATGCTGTATATTTTTTCAGGTGGGTCTAACAGTAGTATTCAGGTAAACATACCACAGAAATGGAATAATCAAATATAAAACAACTCTGCATAGTCATAACAGTACAAGTTAAATATAGATTAATCCTTATTAAAGCTTTTCTTTTGTTTTTTGATTATCATTAATAATAGAGACAGCCAATATTAGACAGTAGAAGGATTTAAAGGCTGCTGCCACTAAGACCTAATGAACGGAGACAATATGCTGTTCACATTCACATAACCGACGCGAATATTCGCCAAATATTCATTTACACATACATTTAGACATAACTGTATGTGTATTTGAGCATTTATGTGTAATAAAGCCGCAAAAATCTGACACTCATAAGAGGTGTGTGCGCTTTGGTTGAGAGTGTACTGACTGAAGAACATCTCTCTGAGAGCTCGCGAGTACTTTATAGTTTAAAATCGCTTGAATTTATAAATTGGCATGATATAAAACACTGTGTATGCTAAACTCTTGTATTGCACCGTGCAGCTTGCTTGCAGAGCAAAATCAATGTGGATACTATGAAGCTATTTGCGCATTTTAAAATAGAGAGAGAAGACGCAGTACCGCTGAGTCACTAACATTGTTTGTGAAATTACATCTCTCAGAAAGTTTTTAAATTACTGATTTGCTCTGATTATCTGTTTGGGTTCCACCTACATGCTGTAGTGCATAAATGTTTGGGACCATTGGTACTGTAGAAAAACATGAACGTCAGGATTTTAAAATGTTGATACCGACTTGATACCAAAGTATCGGTTATCATGACATCCCTAGCTCAAATGTACACAGTAAAATATATATATATTGTAAATAAAAGAAAGATTATTGTGCATTTTACAAGAAAATACTCTTTCTTTTTAATAAATTGTGAAATTTACTACCAATTTCTGAGTGATTTTTTTCTACACCAAATATTTTCAGTGTACTTGCTTTACGTGCAAGAACAAAATCATTGGTTCTTGATAAAAGCCTAAACGTATTTACATGACACGTGAGAACAAACCTCATTGGTTCTTGCGTGTCAAGCAAGTGCAGTTTTGCTTTAATGGACTTCATAGCGGGGCAGAAATCTCTCAGGTTTCATTTGTGTTTCAAAGATGAACGAAAGTCTTATTGGTTTGCAATGACATAAGGGTGAGGTAATAAGGTGACATAAGGTTTAACTAACTCTTTTAAAAGTGAATAATTTTCGACTTTTTCCCAATTATTTAGTCAAGAGCGCAGGCTGCAGACACTTCCCCAAGAGTCCCGGAGTTCAAGCATAGTCGTCCTCAGCTGCATTCCAAGCTTCCTCCACCCTTAGCTGCACCTTCCTACACCCCAACTGCCCCATCTAATGCTAAACTACAGTCGGGCGCTGCTCAGCCCAAACTCAAAAAAGACATTCACCGCTGCCATCGCATGGCACGCCGCCCCTTGCCCCGCCTGGATCAAACAGTCGGTCCCTCCGGTCCTTTTTCGTCCCGTCCAACAGTCAGTCCCTTTTCGGAAACGGTCCGTATTCTCAATCGAAAAGTCAAACCCAGGGAAGTGAAAAAGGGACGGGTCATTCTGAACCTCAAAGTGGTTGACAAGGCTGGGAATGGCGGAGTTGCTAATAGTAGAAGGACACACATGCCCGCTTCCCAGCAGTCCCATTTTGGGCGGCAAAAAATTCCATCCCGGAACAGGGTGATTGGTAAAAACAGGCGGTTTGGAGAAGTGTCCTACCGAGGAATCCAGCCTCCAATTAGGAGTTCTGGGTTTCCTGTTTTCGGAAAACTCTTCGATTCTCACTCTCTGAGCAATGCAGACAACCAGACTCAAAGTGGAGAGAGTCGCAACAACACAAACAATCTCTCTTCCTCCAAAAGTTCAAAGGTCCTGGACGTGTCCAAAGGTCAGACTCTCAATGATGAACTGCCTCCGTCAAACTCGAGCTCTGAAGTTTCAGACGGCGAGCCACCCTCTCCGCGACAAACCCAATTCCAGCATTCCTCATTACCACCCAAAACCTCTGCAACCAACGCCCAAGATCCTGCCCTTCACAAAGTGGGCGCTCAACCCGTGGCATCCAAAAACAGCTCGGGTCCTTCTGCTCTTCCATCCTCTCCTATGTTTTCCTCCTCGTCCTCTGCGTCGTCATCCTCAGAAGACAACGAACACATCCTGGACCTCTCCGTACCTAATGAAATGGACAGGCGATTGCGGCGACGGCATCCCTTCTCTGGCCGTCGGCAGCTCAAGGTCCCAGAGGTTCCCGTGTCAGAGGAGCCGTCGGAGGAAGAAGATTTGGACTGGCATCCTGACATGACATCCCGATGTGCCAATGTGGTCGTTACGGATATCACAGCTAACCTCCTCACCGTAACCATCAAGGAGTTCTGTCATCCACCATCCGCTACCTCTCCTCCCTGCTACCCCAAAAATATATCAGCTCAACACAACACACAACAGCCAAAGCATCCCCCTAACAAAACATGAGTGCAGACAACACCGATACGGCCTCCTCTAGCCTTCAAAAGGGATGTTAGGAGGTGTGTTAGTAGATTGTTTACAGTTTCAGCTGCCTTTGTTAAGAGATGTGGCCAAGCTGTCCACTCTACAACACTGTGCCATGACTTTTATAACCATGAAAGAATGTCTCTGATGAAGGTTTTTTGGCTCATTGTGTTCATTCTGAACACATCGACTTTTCTAAGCAGATTAACTCACCAATGGCTTCTTTAAAGATGTGCCAATCAATTTCCTTTATGCTATTTATTCCATAAGTCACAACTGATTGAGTTGTACCATTCAAAAGTTTGGGGTTGGTAAGATTTTTGTAAGATTTTTGTCTCTTAGGCAAAAAAATATAGAAAAAAAGTACAAATCTGTACAAATATACATAAATCTGTATTTATGATTAAAATTATTGCTGTGATGTCAAAGTTGAATTTTCAGCATCATTACTCCGGTCTTCAGTGTCACGTGATCCTTCAGAGATCATTTTAATGATGTTTTGCTGCTCAAGAAACATTTATCAATGATGAAAACAGTTGTGCTGCTCAATATATTTGTAAAAACTGTGAAGAAACTTTTTATTCAAGATTCTTTGATGAATAGAAAGTTCAAAAGAACAGCATTTATTTGAAATACATTACGTTACAACGTAAACGTCTTTACTGTCACTTTTAATCAATTTAATACATCCTTGCAAGTATGTATTTATTTTTACAAATCGTACCAATCCCAAACTTTTGCATGTTTATATTAAATATATACACACACACACACACAAGTATTAATTGCGTCTTATTCAAACTAAAACTGCAGCATTTTCGATCATTTCTGTGAGTGAATGTATTATGTATAGCATCACAAACATTGAAATGTGCTGTAAACCGCAATTGAGGGCTCAATTTTAATATATTTTTTTAGTTATGCATTCACAATATTATATAGAGTCCAAATTGATCAAAATATGAGCAAGAATTCACTTTGGGGAGTAAATAACCAGTTGTCCAATAATTTCTTAGGAATAGCAACATAATACATATTTTAAATGTTAGTGTAATGCAACCCAAGAAACGATAGTCATATCTTCGCCCGAGTTTTTCTTATGTTGTCCTAATAATGACAACGAAAGTGGTGACATTCCAACCCAATATCACGGCAATTTGTATGTTTTTTTTTTTACGAGGTGGCTAATTTGTACGAAATCGTACGACCTCATTTGTACGATTTCATATGATTTTTCAAAAAGTGCCATCAGGAAGGACCACCCCTAACCATGCCCTTAAACCTACCCATCACTGGGGTCTAGACAAATTGTACGAAAACGTACGAGTGAGGTCGTACGAATTAGCCACCTCGTAAAATACGTACGATTTGCTGTGAGATTGTGTTGGACATTCCTGGCGTTAAACCACCGATACATTGTTTTTGTGAGATTACCTGCAGTAAATATTCCAGAGGAAAACAACTAAATAAAATTCCTTTGCTGGTGTATTTCTTATAAAAAATATTTATTGCCAAAAAAGTTCCTCAATTCTCCTGTCATTGCGGCACAAAGTTAATATTTGACCCTGGTTATTTTTAGTTAAGCTTTGGCATATGGCAGGATTCCTGATACAAGCACCTTCAGCTTTAAGGGTCCCCACAGCCAGTACCTTCATTATGAAGCAGAATAACACAACCATGTCAAACGTGTATGTTTTATCTCAGTGTTTATGCCTGACAAGTGTTTATAGTGCTGTCTTACCCATTTTACCTTTCACAGAGGTTGCCAGAAAACAGTAATAAAAAGGGAGGGAGACTGAAAAATAGGAAGTTGTGTTGTTGCTAAGCTGAAATGCAGTGATAATTGCCAGAGATTCAACTACAGGAATCTAAGCCAGCAAGCCATGTGTTCCTTCTCTGCTGTTTTCTAGACTTTCCTCTTAAATTTGGCTTAAAATCAAAGAAAGGGAGCAGTACTTGTTTTGAAAACTAGCTGTTAATTGATGAACTCGTTCAAGAAACATTAACTGTTATTTAATGACTAGCGTGTTCATGCTAATGTTGTTTTATTTTTGCCCTGTTAAAGACATTTGTTCAGGAACAGCTATTTTGCTTCTCACTGAAGTGTTCTTTTGTAGTAGTTCTTTTGATTGTGCTGCAAAAAGCTTTGAGTTAAAGTCAATAAGGTCAACTATCACTCTCACTTGGAACGTGAGGAATCACTTTAGTATCATCCCGGTCTCTCTTTATCAGCAGGGATTGAAAAATCTCAACAGAGAGCGAGTGTGAAGTCTGTCACTTTGAATCCAGATTTGCGTAGACTTTGGTGAAGGGCATTCTGGGAAAAGCAAGCTTTTGATCTAGTCCTGACGTGGTTGGAACGGTCTCTACCCTCCAGTTAGGTTTTAATGAGAGCTAAAGTTTAAGCCCCATGAGCTTTGGTCTTGATGCAAGCCAGTGTCAGTTTTTAAATAAGAAAAGGCACAGGCGAAACGCACTGGCCTGTTGAAGTGAATGGTGATGTCATTGATATGGGAACTTTTGCTGTGGCCAAATACAATGTTTGGGGTTTGGGTCTTTGCTTAGTCATAAAATTAGCTCATAGTGCAGTTTCTCTTACGTTCTTGGCGTGCCTTGTTCTTAATGTCCAACAAGCCTTTTATATTTCTTATTTAAAAATTGAGACTTGATTGATTGAGTGTTTTGTTTTCTATTGCTTTTGAATATCCATTTATGTCATCAGAGATCAAGCACTCAGTCCTGCTTTCTGCAGCTTTGTGGTTTGCACCAACATTGTTGGTCCTAAATCCCTGATATTTGCTGCAAACACTGGATATTCTGCCCCCTGTGACCTCCCCTGTAATCCCACTTAACCAGAACTTCAGGACTTGTGTAGGGATGGGGTCAGAATCAAGATTTCCTCTCAAAATCCCTATCTGGACCGCTCCGAGTTCACGGCATCATTCTGTTTATCCCACTTAATCCTGACTCTCGTTATTCTTCCACATTTGTCGAAGGTTTATCTCAAACCTCCATGATGAGGATGATTTAAGGACACATTCTCTCATTGACCTGTAAAGAAATTGATTTGTATTGTAATGAAGTTGTTTGTTCAGCCATATTGTTTTTCCCCCCAAAATGGCAAGTTTGAGGAATTGCAAACTCCTCGGCACTTAGAATGCATGTTTTCAAGTCGTATTTAAACAGATCAAACTGTAATGCACTCGTGCCTTTGTGCAAAGGAAGAGTTTTTGAATATGTAAATATTTTCAAAAGGATCATGCATAGTTCTTCTTTTTTTTTATGTGATTCTTTTGAAGAAAGTTTGAATTTAAGGAATTAATTTTAGTTCTGGTTTCATGTACTTCCGAATGTATGTATTTTCCATTACTTTTACATACAAATCATTGTGTTTAACTTTTTATTATGTGGCCTTGACAAAGCCAGTAATATTATCCTGTACACAGACACTTAGGTTAATTCCTAAAAGGGTGTTCAAGTTACATCCATCAAACACAGTCACTTCTTTTCTAATTGTTTGGACTTCCCAGGAAATTTTCTGACTGTAATTCCTGAGCTTTAAAGCTGTGTTAACCAAACATATTAGAATTGGCTATAGTAGTGGCCTAGCTAAGACTTGAACTTCAAGCGAACCTTCAAACGTTCAGGCTCAACTTTCTCCAGCCGACATTCAAAGTTTCTCTTGAAGACAAGTCATTATTTACATTTGCTGTCTTGTGCAACCAGGTCTGTAGCGTTAGCAGTGTTAAGCACACAGAACATGTGCAAATCATTAATGCCCTGACTGTTTGAGAACAAGCCCTTAAACTGTGTTCAGGAGATCAGCTCCACACTTCTGCACTGTGTAACTTCTGAACCATTCTGTGCAGTTTTGACATTTTTCTGGCTTCAGTCTGTGTGTGTGTGAGAGAGAGAGAGAGACAGAGATAAGAGAGATGAGAGAGACCTGTATAAGTTCTGGAATTTGACACTCCATCATCTTAATCACAAATTAAATGTAAATATTTATTGTGGGTCCCCCCTCTAAGTCTGAAAGCTTGTTAGCCAATTTTATTTATTGATTTTAATTTCCTCTAATTTGTTAATTTTGTTGTAAATATTTACTTTATGTGTGATTTGTATTTTGTACTGGCCATAGCAGAATTATAATTATTTTTCATTGCTTTATGTATTGTGTACAGATTTGTAACTGAAGTGTTGAAAACCATGATAATTTTTGTATCGTCTTTGAAGTAGAAGTGTAGCTAAGCTCACTGGCCCTGTTTTAATAAAGGAATTGCATTTGTGATTTTGCAAATTACGTGTCATGTGTAGTTTTTATATTTATACTTTTGTGGTTTATAGTCAAATCCTATTCAATTGTAATTTTTCACTGATCTTTTCAGTATTTGAGTAATTTTAGATGCACCTTAAAAACCTCTTATGTCTCAGTAATGTCAGCAGCATCAAGGCAGTATCCATTTGTGTATACTGACTGGCAATACAAACCAATACAGTTAACAAGTGTTCCTCAGTGAAAAGGAATGTATTCTTGTATTCTTAAATTTGTACAAAAATACAAAGTTTTGTAGTTTACACAGACATGATGATGGTATCGTTATCAAAGATTTGCACTTTGAAACCCATTTTCAAAAGTTAGCATTTTCAGGCCCCCAAAAAAGGTTTTCCGTATTTATTTTAAAACGATGTTGTGTAAATGGCCCCTCAGATTGCTCGAGGCAAGTTTCTCTGTAGTGATGGAATGTGAAACCTAGTGGTTGAAGTATTTATTACTTCAATGAGCTCATTGTTTCTTCCTTAAATTATTACATTGTTTAAATTAATCAATTTTTCGCTAACAGTGATATTGTATATGTACATTTCTGAAATAAATACATAACTTAGACAGTCACCTCTGATAACAGATCACTCAGATCACTTGTGCATTTTCTGTAAAGCTGCTTTGAAACGACGTGTATTGTGAAAAGCGCTATACAAATAAATGTGAATCGAATTGAATATCACAATCATGCAGTTGATCTGAATATCAGAATCGCATCTATGACACTCGTGGCTACAGTCAAATCACATATTCAGAACAAAAGCACTCTCGCTCTTGTGATATTGCTCAAGTATGTTATTTTTTATTTATATTTCTGATTTATATAAAAGTCATTTTGGTTTTCATATATGTGTACATTCAATTGATAGGTGAGATGATCAGTGGGGCTGAGTTTTTACCATCTTTGTTTAGTGATGGGAAAAAATATGGAAAGAGTTTCTCAGTGAAGGTCTGGCCAGTGAAAGAGTAGTTATGAGACCTTGACTTCATGTCATAAAAAGAGACCAGACCTCCCTCATAATCCACAAACACTCCCACCTTCTGTGCCTTCACCCTCAGAGAGAATAAAACCTCTCATAAAAGACTATTAGTTCTATATGTATTGAAGATACACTATATGGACGAAACTGTTGGGACACACCTCTTAATTCTTCAATTCAGGTGTTTAAATCAGACCCATTACCACAGGTTTATAAAATCAAGCACCTAGCCATTTACAAACATATATATAAAAAAATTCTAAAGCCGCGTTTCCACCAAAATTACCCGGAACAATTTGTCCCAGGTACTCCTCCCACTGAATTAATTGTAATTCAGAACCTTGCAAATGTCCGATTATTTAAACTCACTTTTCTGAGTTCTGCTGAGTGTTTGATATCTTGAATCTTCTTCATTCTGTCCTGGATAATCTGCTGCACTTCTGTTTGTATCTTCATCACTTGAGTCTATAAACACAGATAAACACACATTTTATCACTCATATATTTATTGTTAATATGTTTTGTTATTTGTTGTAACTCCTGCCTGCCTTCTTCTCCTCGCTCTCCTCCTCCAGAGGAACAGTGTTGTGAGTCTTGTGGTCTCCATCAGTGCAGAACAGACACACAAACGTCTGATCATCTCTACAGAACATCTCCAGAGGTCTCTCGTGTTTCTGGCATATATAGTCTTCCAGATTTTCTACAGTGTTTATCAATTTGTGTTTTTTTAATCGTGGGACTCTCTGATGAGGCTCCAGGTGAGTCTCGCAGTAAGAGCTCTGACATATCAGGCAGGACTTCAGGGCTTTCAGCTTTCTTTCATCACAGATGTCACAGAGAACATCAGGTTTTGTCAGACAGGACTTTTCTTTAAAGAGCTGTACGACCCGCCTAAGTGCTGTGTTGATCTTGAGGTCGGGTCTTTTATTAAATGTTTCTTTACAGAGTGGACAGCAGCAGGCCTCACTCTTGTCCCAGCACTGGTTCAGGCAGCTCTTACAGAAGTTGTGTCCACACGGGATGGTGGGGATGGTGACCGGATCGGTGAACACATCTAGACACACAGAACACTGTAGCTCTTCAGTTAGAGGATCACTGGAGAATGTCAGGCCTGAAAAGAAGACAAATGAAGATAAGATTGCTAGAATTAGATAAAGGCGCTGAACATGCCGAAGCTGCACTCACTCAGGGCGGCTGTTCTCACTGCGAGAACATGCTGCTCTCCGTTCTGCGCTAGCAGCTAGCTCTCTTTACGTCAGAGAGCGACCCCGCCCCTGGTGCCCTCCCGTTTCCAGCCCTACTCGAGCCTCGGAGGAAGAAACGGCGGGGTCAGAGGATGAATGAGCGCTCGGAGGCGAGCAAGCTCACGCCGGACCAGCGGCCCTCCCTCGAAGCGGCTGGCCTTGTCTCTTTCGGGGGATCGGTGGAGGACATTAATGACAGTTTGTCAGTGGTGGCGTCTGAGGGCGAGGATTGGTCGGGCTCAACTGTTGTCAGTATTCACTGGCTGGTGCTCAGCTTGGAACCTAGACCCATGTTCACCAAGAGCTGCTGGACGCGGGCCGGACCCCCTCCACGCTTAAAGTGTATGTGGCGGCCATAGCAGCCCTCCTTGTTCCTGTGGCCGGGCAATCTTTAGGGAAAAGCAAAGGGGCCAGGAGGCTTAACCCGCCTCGACCTCCCTCTATCCCCACCTGGGACCTATCTATGGTCCTCAGGACTCTTAAGGGACCCCCTTTCGAGCCGCTTCAGTCGGCTGACTTAAAGCCACTTTTGCTCAAGACCGCACTCCTGCTAGCCCTAGCATCGGTCAAGCGAGTAGGCGATTTACAAGCGCTCTCCATGAACCCTTCCTCCCTTGAGTTTGGGCCCAACGACTTCAGAGTCGTCCTCAAACCAAGACATGGTTATGTACCCAAGGTGCTCTCGACTCCGTTCAGAGCCCAGGTTATTTCACTATCGGCTCTTCCCCCATCGGAAGACGATAGAGACTTGAATCTACTCTTCCCTGTCAGGGCGCTCAGAGTCTATTTAGAGCATTCTGCCCCGTTCAGGCAGTCGGAACAGCTCTTTGTATGCTTCGGTGGCCGCACCAAAGGGTCCCCGGTCACGAAGCAGAGATTATCACGATGGATAGTAGATGTTATCTCTTTAGCCTACACTTCAATGGGCCTCCAATGCCCCATAGGCGTCAGGGCTCATTCCACAAGGGGCATGGCTTCTTCATGGACATGGTCCAGTTGTTTACAAATTGAAGACATTTGTGCGGCGGCCGGCTGGTCTTCGCCGTCCACATTTGTAAGATTTTACAACTTGGAAGTGCCAGCCCTGCAGGCACGAGTCCTTTCTATATAGAAGGTATTGGCACCTGTTGGGCCCAAGCCTCTACATATCCCTTCGAGGGCCCCATCTCATCCGGTCCCCGTTGGATTCTGACTTTAGGTCTACTATAAGTCTCGGGCTTCTCAGCTCCAGGCGGTAGTCAGAGCGAAGTCATCAGCTAATAGCACAGTGTTTTAAAATGGGTTCCCATAGCGTATAGCTATGCAATAGGAGTGAACCGTTCTCGAAAGGGAACGTACTCGGTTACTAACGTAACCTTGGTTCCCTGAGAGATAAGGGAACGCTGCATGTCCAGGTGCTGTCGCTTCAGTCGATTTAACCTGATTCCTATGGCGAAATAGGCCGCTTATATAGTCAGCAGCCACGCCCATTTGGGCGCGCTTCGACGGGAAGCGCCCTGATAGGTTTGTGCATCCTCGCTGCAGTGACACACCTGAATAAAAGGCTCATTATGCGGGTCATTGTCTTCTCAGGTGTGAATCAGAGCATTATTCATGATCATTCACGCCCCCATGCATATTGCCTTTCCAAACAAAACGTGTCTTACAAAGTTTAAATCAATGTATTGTTTTGTGTAAATCATTAGGCAGGATGATTTTCAGATCATTTTGAAGCAAAAACTCTAGGCGACAACATCCATACCAAAAGTCTTGTGGACACATATTTAGTATGTGTTTTGTGGCCTTATTTCAGAAACTTAAATTTTTTGTTTTTTCAAAACATTCTGTACATGTTGCTCACATATCAGTTTGTGCTAAATAGAGTGTAATTACACCTTTGCCATTAATATGTTTATAAGCAACTGAAAAAAGCACAAGGCATATCAGGGCATGTCTACGGTGGCCGAGACAGCTCAACGCGCTGCAACTGAAGCAAACACATGCAAATGAAGAAAAACGCATGCAAATAGAAAAAAACACATGCAAATAGAAAAACACGCGTGCAAATAAAAAAAAAACACCTGCAAATAAAAAAAACATCTTCATCAGTTTCACAACACACGTGTGCTCCAAATAAGGAAACGCGCTACAAAAGTTCACAACACAACCAAATACAGAAAACGCGCTGCAAATAACACAGACCACAACGGAAATGTTTCCAGGGGAACCAAATAAGTGACGAACCCGGCTGAGACGTGCTTATTGCTCGTGAGCTTCCCTGTGCCATACTCCCTTCGAAGGGCAGATTGCAGAGCCCTTAAAGTGGGACTGTGGAGGGAGCAGGGCTCTAGTGTGCTGTTATGTAGCCGTGTGGAGCGCACTTGATGAAGGGAGCAACTAAAGACAACGTAATTTCCTCATTATTTTCACCTGGGATGTTCCCATGACAACGCAGCACGGTGTCCATCAGCTGGTCTTACAACAGAAATATAATGCTGTTGACATAACGGATGCAAATACATTTTTATTTTTATTTTACAAAAAAGCTGTTAAAATATGTGTTATATATCTGTGTGTCTCAACTTTAAAATTTTGGACCCTACATTAGGCTACCTAACATTTCTTACGAAACTTTTCTTTATGAAAATGTAATAACATGAAACAATTTGTACAGTGTAACTGATCTATAGATAAATATCTTTCCTTCATGTTTTTCTTCTTTATCTTTTTTATTTATTTATTTTAGTTTCCAGCTCATTGTTCTTTTCTCGTTTGTATTCTGATGACATTGAACATATTGTTAATACATTTTGTACATTGTATACAAGTTGTATGTCATAAAAAAATGTAATCTCTGTATGTTTTGCACAAACAAATAAATAAATAAATAAACAAATAAATAAAGTATAATTTTAAGCTGTAAGCACCAGCACGCATAGATTTATGGATATCTATGCCAGCACGTCCCAGCCGGGTTCGTCACATATTTGGTTCCCCTGGAAACATTTCCGTTGTGCTCTGTGTTATTTGCAGCATGTGTCTGTATTTGGTGTTGTTGTGAGTATTTGGAGCACACGTGTGTTGTGAAACTGATGAAGATGTTTTCTTAATTTGCGAGTGTTTTTTTTATTTGCACGCGGGTTTTTTTCTATTTGCATGCGTTTTATTTTATTTGCATGTGTTTTTTTCTATTTGCACGCGTTTTTTTCTATTTGCATGTGTTTTCTTCTATTTGCATGTGTTTTCTTCAGTTGCAGCGCGTTGAGCTCTCTCGGCCACCGTACATGTCAAAACATCTCAAGGACCCCAAAAACACCTTAGACCCCAGAGGGTTAAGAGAGCTGTGCATAAACAAATGCACACAAACCTCAATGCTGTTCATCTGAGGTTGTAATTACCAGATTTTTGTTTATTATGTCCTGATACGTAAAACCATAGGATTAAAAAAGGTGTACTTTCATTTTCACATGACTGAATTTCACCAACATACAGTATATTAATATTTGTAGTAATGATTTTTTTAAATGTGTCCACGCACTCACCTGTGGCAAAGCGACATTTGTGTAGCATGCCAGATTTAGAAACGCAGGTAACAGGTAGGGTAGGATCAAACACAATCAAGTCATCATCATCATCATCCTCATCAACATCATCCTCCTCTTCATCATCATCATCCTCCTCCTCTTCAACATCATCATCATCCTCCTCTTCAACATCATCATCACTGCCACTTGATTCTACAACAAATGCACAAACACTCAGGAAACAGAATATAAAGAATACTGAAATTTACTCATAATTGTTGATATTAATGAGCATTTTGTCTCGTTACAGGTCACTATCATACTGACCAGAGGTGTAAGGGAGTAGCTGTTGCCAGCTCTGTGAAAACAGAACAGATGCAGGCATGTCAGTGATGAGGAACACAGGAAAAGATCCCTAAACCCTGTTTAGCTGAGAATCTCGGTTTCACAGACAAGGCTTAAATCTAGTCCCTGACTAAAATGCATGTTTGAGCTGTTTTAACTGAAAGCGGCTTTCACTGACATATTAAAATATGTCATTGCCAGTGTTTTGTCTCACGATTCACACCAGTAATGTTTTTTTTCTAAGGCATGTTTATTAAAGCTTTTTAAATGTCCTAATTGAATTAAGGCCTAATCCTGGCTTAATTTAAACCCTGTCTGTGAAACCAGGCCTAGGTGTTACATTTTGCAACATATAAACACACATATATGTGCTTTGATTTAATTTTCAATTTAATTTTGTATTTTAGTTTTGTTAACTGTATTTCAGGGAACTGTTAATTCACATTCTGAATGCTAATTATATTTGTACTTAAAGAGTGCAGAGTGCATTAGTTGAAGCTGTTCTTATGCACCTGTGTGAGTTTCTGGAGTGGAATCCCATTGTAATGGATGCTGGTCTTCCACTTTTTGTTCCTTTCCTTCAAACCTTTCAAACTCACTGGGCTTGAACCACTGGCCTTCGCTTAAAATCCACTTCTGCTCTACAGACAGAGAAGTTGATGTACAGTTTATTCAACCACTATACTGGAATCAATATTTTTAGTAATTATAGTAATATAATAATTTAGTAATTATAGTAATATATATATAGTAATATTTTAGTAATATCAATATTTCTATAATTGCATTAAGTATCCGCACCTACCTTTATTATATTTCTCCACATAAAAGATACCTTTTTTATCCCCACATGTGACAGGAAGTTCACATTTGTTTTTAGATTTTTGTCTCAAATACTGGCTGGAGTCTGAAACGAAGGACACATGTCAGGCATGAATGGAGCTTTAAATCAAACTCATTACAGACAGTGTTTGTTTGTTTTGTTTGTTTGTTTACTTTTATTGCCCCCTTCGGGGAAACTAATTTTGCAGCAAAAGGTAATAGACATACAGACAATACACACACAAAAAACACAATACATAATACACATCGCACACATCATAGTTCATATAAAAAACACAAAAACACCTCCTATGAAGAGTCCAATAGACCAACAGCCACCGAAAAAAAAAAAAAACTTAAATCGTTTTGTTCTTCCTCCTGTCACCCTAAAACGACGCCCAGAAGGCAACAATTGACATTCTTTAAATAAGGGATGATCAAAATTTTGTAAAATTGAATGTGCCTTATTCAAAACCTGTATATAAATAGGGACTTTAAGCAACAGCCTCTGGTGGAACGGCAACGGCATTCTGTCGTTCTATTGCGCATGTGCGGCATTAACTGCTACTTCGCGACGTTCTACTGTAACCATCTACAACGGGAGAACAGCTGATTTGCCGTAGTCGTTACTACGTGACAGATTAAGAAAGTTAATGTTATGTTTTAGGTTATGTGGCATTATAATCGTTTCTGTATATCATTAAATGCCCAAATCAACCCTTCTCTTACTTTTTAAAATCAGTTTATTTTTTGTATTGTGTCTGATTGTTAAATTATCCCCTATGCCGTCCTCTTTACTGTTGCTTAGTGATTTTTGCGCTCTTTAGCTACGGCAGTTAACCGTTTACTTCCGGCTGCCGTTGCCGTTCTATCAGCAGCTGTTGCTTAAAGTCCCTCAATAGGCTGGATTTGACTTATAACTTTTCCTGCAACCTTAACAAGACTATTTAGCCAATTTCTATTTGTCAAAGTTAAGTTGCCAAACCAAGCTACAATACAAAAGAAAAAAAAAAACTGATTCAACAAAAGACTTATAAAATAAAGTCATCATCTTAGAGCATACAATGAATATTTCCATCTTCCTTAAAGGGGTCATATAATGCCATTTTTGTACAAGCTAATATGATTCTTTAGAGTCTAAATTAAAACTTTGTAATATACTTTAATTAAAAATTCTCATTAGTATTGTAAGAAAACACTTATTTTACCTGGTCAAAAACAGCTCTGTTTTCAGCACGCCGTTTCAGTGCATATGACTTTAAATGATAATGAGCTTTGCTCACCTCGCCTCTCTATTCTGTGTACACCGTTTGTAACACAATAACCATAACGCGTTGTTCATTATAGACGTGGGATTATGAATTATATTGAGAACGTCGTACATAGAAAACATGCCGTAATGTACCCTGAGTGTAAACCTTAGACACATTCATTGTGTACTGAGGGAGTCCAGTCCAGTCCTGTCTGTTTACAGCGTCGTTTCATATTCCTCCCCCCCCCCCCCCCCCCCCCCCCCGAAAAAGTCGCCCATGGTCAAATAAGAGATAATATATACCAACGATGAAACCTACTCCAAAACAAACCAAACTGAGAGTTACTTCCTGGACTGGTGTTTTGGAATTTGAGCGACAGAGAGTTAACCCTCTACAGCACAGCAGAATGGTCAAAAAAGCATCAAAGAACAGTCCAATAAGGTGTGGGAGTCACTATAAAGCACCATTTGAATGCTGGGCTGCGTTCAGCACCGACAAAACGTAGCACAACGTTTTTTAAACAGAAACGGTGATGCGTTGAACGCACTAAATGACGCAAGAGTTGCATCTATGGCAGCTAAGAAAGGCCATTCTTTGTGTTCTTTGTGAAGAATTTTCTGAGCCTGATGAAGTCGGTATAAATATGTGTTTAATACTACAAAATATGCCCGATGTTACAGTTACTGCACTTGCTGCCCAGAACACAAGAGAGCATCCCAGTCGAGTGAAGGGATATGTGGAAACTGAAATGGAAGCACACATCTTACCTAATTCAGACTAAAGCACATCTATTTATCCTCACATACTGACTTTATTCGTAGTTTTACTTTGTTTTAATACCCTGTATTTTCTTTCTCATTTTTAGGAAAAGCACTTAATTACCATTGTTTATTTCTATACCAAATGTCATACACTTGCAATGAAGCTAAAAATATAAACAACTACATCATTATGTTGATATCCTATATTTTTACGACAAACATGTCTTCTAATATCCCCAGTTGTTGCGTATACCTGTCACAAACCAGAAGGACACAGACGAGTGAGTATAACCAGGTTTAATGAAACAGAGGATGGCAGGTGAGGAACGGGATAGCAGAAGCAAGGGATAGCAGGATAACCGTCTGATAATGTCTCTCTTATCTGAGCAGGAGTGGTAGCAGGATCCGCGGCCAGGTGCGGAGAGGGAGACGGAGGGAGAACGGATATTGGAGCAGGAGATGAGTCGAGGAGTACTGGAACAACCGAAGGTAAGTAGCGATGATATCAAGTAGCTCTCAAGCGGGAGTCTGTAGACGTAGTAGTAACGAGACCAGACAGTGAGTGACTGTGAGAGGTGAGTTCTTATAGAGAGGGTGATTGTTACGGGGATTAATGACAACAGGTGATGACGATTAGTATTCAGGGGAACCGGAACGAGTGGGTGGAGTGATGGTGTTTGGTGCTGACGTCGGTGGATCCGTGACAGTACCCCCTCCCCCACGGCCAGCTCCAGCTGGCGGACGGGACCGACGACGGGGACGACCACGGCCTCTGGGTGCAGGACGATCTGGATGAGAAGTATGGAAAACCTGGAGAAGCGAGGGATCCAGAATGTCTTCCCGATGGACCCAGCTTCTTTCCTCCGGGCCGCATCCCTCCCAGTCGACGAGGTATTCCAAGTGGCCGCCCCGTCGTCGGGAGTCGAGGATTTCATGGACTTGATAAATGTTGTCGTCCTCCGGATCCGCTGGAGGAGGAGGCACCTCCGTAACACCAGACCCTGGGGAAGAAGGAGTGAGAGGGTTAGTGTACGGTTTGAGCAAGGAGACATGGAAGGTCGGTGCAATGCGGTAATGGGCGGGGAGTGATAGCCGATAGGTGACCGGGTTGATCTGCCTCAGTATCGCGAAAGGACCTATGTATCTGGGACCCAGCTTACGACAGGGCTGTCGGAGACGGATGTCCCGGGTGGATAGCCAGACCATTTGCCCAGGAAGGTATTGGGGTGTATCGGCCCGTCGAGTGTCGGCCTGGCGTTGATGTCTCCGAACAGCCCGCTGGAGGTGGATATGAGCTGAGTCCCAGACTCTCTCGCTCGTCTGGAACCAGTGATGGACAGCTGGGACGTCAGATGGTTCACCCGACCAGGGGAATAGTGGCGGTTGGTAGCCGAGTATGCACTGGAACGGAGTGAGACCGGTGGTGGATTGTCGGAGGGAGTTTTGTGCATACTCGGCCCAGGGTAGGAAACGACTCCAGCGGTCCTGGTGGTCGTGGCAGTATGACCGCAGATATCTCCCTATTTCCTGGATCTTCCGCTCAGTCTGGCCGTTGGACTGGGGATGGTATCCTGAAGTAAGGCTGACGGACACACCCAGAAGATTGAAGAATGCCCTCCATACACGAGATATAAATTGCGGACCACGGTCGGAGACGATATCCTCGGGGATACCGAAGTTCCGAAACACATGTTGAAACAGAGCTTCAGCGGTTTCAAAGGCTGTAGGTAGACCAGGAAGCGGGATCAGTTTACATGCTTTGGAAAAACGATCGACCACCACTAGAATGCAGGTGTGGTTATCGGACATGGGGAGGTCGGTGACGAAGTCCGCCCCGAGATGGGACCAGGGTCGAGCAGGTATGGGCAGGGGAACCAGCTTGCCTTCAGGGAGATGTCGAGGAACTTTGGCCATGGCGCAGACTGAGCATCCTTTGACGAACCGGGAGATATCCTGGGCCATACCCGGCCACCAATAGCGTTGTTGGACGAGCGAGAGAGTAGATTGGCTGCCTGGGTGTCCAGAGCCCGGGGAGGTGTGCACTGAGTCCATGAGGGACAGACGGAGGCGGGTTGGTACAAAAACCCGTCCCTCAGGACCTCCCGGCGGAGCAGGTTCGACACGGGTGGCGTCGGCGATGTGGTCATCTAAGCTCCACTGGATGGGGCTTACAACCACGGCTGGAGGGAGAATGGTTTCGGGGTTCGAAGGAGGTATATCTGGCTGAAATTGTCGGGACAGAGCGTCTGCTTTTATATTCTTGTGGCCTGGACGATAGGTTACGGAGAAGTTGAAGCGGGTAAAGAATAGGGCCCAACGAGCTTGGCGGGAATTGAGTCTTTTAGCCTCTCGGAGGTATTCAAGGTTTCGATGATCGGTGATAACAGTGAAGGGGTGTTGAGCTCCCTCCAGCCAGTGTCTCCATTCCTCCAACGCTAGTTTGATGGCTAGTAACTCTCGATTGCCGATGTCATAATTCTGCTCCGCCGGGGACAGTTTCTTGGAGTAGAAGGCGCATTGATGGAGTTGTGGTGGATTCCCCTGCCGCTGTGATAGAACCGCTCCTACCCCAGAGGTAGAGGCGTCCACTTCCACGATGAAGGGTAGAGCTGGATTTGGGAGTGAAAGGGTAGGAGCGGAACTGAAGGCGGTCTTCAAATTGTGGAATGCTCGAGTAGCTGAGGTGTCCCAGGACGGAGACTTGGCCCCCTTCTTGAGCAGGTCGGTAAGTGAAGAACTGATAGGACTGAAGTTCGGGATGAACCGGCGGTAGAAGTTGGCGAACCCCAGGAAACGTTGAAGTTCCTTGCGAGTGGTGGGTTGTGGCCAGTTGATCACAGCTTCCACCTTCCTCTGGTCCATGGTGATACCTTGGGGGGAGATGATGTAGCCGAGGAACTGGATGGTATTCTGATGGAATTCACACTTTTCCAGTTTGAGATAAAGCTGGTAGTCTCTGAGTCGTTGAAGTACCGTTTGCACATGGCGGATATGGGTCGGCAGATCAGGGGAGTAGATGAGGATATCGTCTATGTAGATGACTACAAACTGGTTAAGGAGGTCGCGGAAGATTTCGTTCATGAAACCTTGGAAAATGGAAGGTGAGTTGGACAATCCGAAGGGCATAACCAGGTATTCGTAGTGCCCCGCGGGGGTGATGAAGGCGGTCTTCCATTCATCTCCATCCCGGACACGGATGAGGTTGTAGGCACTACGAAGATCGAGTTTGGTGTAGACGGTTGCCCCTCGGAGTTGTTCCAGAGCGGCTGGGACCAGAGGAAGG